TATGAGGTATTTCATGATTGAGCGCAGACAGTATGCGCTAGGTAGAGATAGTGTTGGATTCAAGGATTGCACATACTCGTTTCTGGTTACTTGAAACGAAGCACCTGAAAGCAGGTGTGGCGTATTAATCAATACGCACTTGATTGCATTCATTAACGTCTGTAAACGGTACCACCTAAGTCATGTTCCTTTTTATTGGTATGTTGCAGATTCCGCAGTAAGCCACCAGTTATAAACTGCAAAGGGGAGGAAAAACATGGCTTTTGTATGCATCGAAGCTAATAATTCAGGCCTCAAATGTGTGCTTTGCACTTAACACATGGGTGTCTCTACACCATATGGTGCCACGTATATATGAAGCAACTCGTGTCCCAACAATCAAAGTGCATGCACGTGAGTGTAAGCACTAGAGCTTATAAATTGTAAGGCTATGGCCGTATTGTTATTGTACTGTGACTTGTTACTGGATGAACTGAATTGATGAACAACGTGTATTTCAAATTTCAACTCTGGTGACCATAAGGTGGCCAGAAGCAACGGCAAAATAGTCTTAAATACAGCTACGTATGCTCAACTTTGCAATTATGAAATTACCCCAGTTGATAGCGCATTGCATGAATTGTCTTCACGCCAGTGCAGAAAGATACAACAGGCCAAATCACATATCTACCAGCTTTACCTTGGTAAGTTTTAGCTTCAATATGGTTTACTCGTTAAAAGTTGACCCACTGTTAATCGACTGTTCTTCAACAATTGAGTAACTTTATTGTGGGTGTGGGAGAAATGATGTGCTTGGTAGAGACCATTTTACTGTAAATAATCTGACACGTCGTATTATCCTCGTGCTGATGATCTTAAAACTCTGTAAATGGGGGCTTGAATTCTTGTAGTGTTCAGTCCACGGCACTAGAATCAAATATTCAGCATAACCAAATTAGCTTTGGTTAATCTTGGTGCTTACTGACTCAAGACGTCAGGTACCTGAAGGTTCAAAGTAGTTCATGCCTGTCTTCCAGAGTGGTCTGATGCTAAAGTATCATTTCAGCATGTAGTTCCACGAAACTGATCAGAATTAGGCATTATGAAACATCGCTATGAATGTTCACTAACTTGAAGTCCCAACTCAAGGAATGTAGATTTGTTTCTTTGCCAATAACCAGGCTCAAGTTAACATGCACGACTGCTTATCGAACACCCAGTTAACTTTTCATGTATGGAGATTTGGCTTTCATATCCACCTCACAGCTCGATCGGTATGTGGTGTTATCATTTGAAACTTGGAACCAAGTTGTTGGTGGTGCAATTTTAAAATTTTGAAAAGCACCGCATGGCGTGTCTGCGTTTTCGATATCGTGGTTAATTTCCAGATATTTCATGAAGAGATCCCCTCTGACGTTGGAGTCATGTTCATTTTTAGTACTATTTCAGTAAAATAGAGTCCTTTTGGATGTTATACATTGCAATTCAACTCATACGAAATCATTCTAGATGCGTTTGTATGAGCAATCAAAAACGGTACTTTCCTCAGCTTCTCATAAGTTACTGATTATCAATGACGTAGCATTGAACCGCATCATGAGCTTGGACTTGAAACGGGCGTTATTCTTTTATTGAAAAACGCCGCAAATAGCTGGTGGGGAGCTCCCTTTTAAAGGTAACTTAGTTCTCAATGTAGTATCAATAAGAAAGTTAATTAAAAAGACTTTGACGTATGCAGGTCCTAGGTGTGGTATATCAGTGTTAGTATTACGACGTATTGGAAATATAACCTCCAGTACATGACAGAATAAGTTGGCAGCCGAAGGGGCTGCCATTAAGTTCAAAACTTGCGCTTAAGTTTCAACTAAAGTCTAAGTCCGGGGTGATAGTGAGCCTGAGTCCCCCCAAAAAAAAGACTAAGATTGGATGCAAAACGTTACAGCTCAGTTGTATAAAATTACGAAGCACACGCACATCCTCAATTGCTGCTTTTTTCTCTAGCCAATGATTCCCTGATTGAGAATTCATAATATTGAAGGACTAATATCAATTACAAAGACAACCCCTCGGCTGAAATGAACCAGAGACTAAATGACCATCTTACTTCACATAATATGTGAAACGGTATGCTCACAACCCCAAGACAACTTGAAAACACGAGCGTTTAAAATATCCTCTTGGTAAACTTGGACAGCAGTACATTACTGTACTATTAGTATCACCAGGACAATATTGATCACCGTGGGTAATACTTGGTGCTTAGGGCGTATAGTGTTGCTTTTGTTTTTGTTGCTTTTGTTTCTGTTGCTCTTGTTTCTGTTGCTCTTGTTTCTGTTGCTTTTGTTTCTGTAAGTCTTGCTATTAGGGCAGCACAGGACCAAAAAGTTAGATCACTTCAGAAGTTGCAGCACTTGAAGCAATGGTGTCATAGGAACAGTCGTAGTTTATAAATGGTCATAGATTAAAACTAGGGACTTGATTCTCATTGAAGAAATAGTATTAGTCAATTTTAGACCCCACTGATCGATTAACTTTTGTACTGACATCATTTTGATCCAGTCGTCTATCTCATAGAGTGAGACAAAGAAAGCATGAAATTAGGACCTGGTCCATAAGTGTATCTGCAAAGACACTATTCCTATAAGTCATAATAGCACTCCAGTCACACACATAGTTAAACAATGTAACACTCAATGAAGTTTTATTACGTTGGTTTCTTTAATTAGTGGAGTATTACAGTCTTCTCCTTTGGGGAAATGGCCAATGACTTCAAATATACATGGCAAAAGGTGATCCAAGAGCTTTGGGAACTCGCTAACTTCTAAAAACGCCTTTCCAACACCAATGATTCGGTTAAGCACAATGAACCGAAGTTTCCAGAGTCCCGAGTCATGACCAACTTTTGCCTGTTTCACCAAGTTAATTGGTTTATGGTACAGTGCTGGGTTTCAGCGTTCGACAGACCAGTATAAGGGGTGAGATCAGGCTTCTGAGGCGTAATACTTGTGATACTCCAGTTCTGGTCTTAAATTGAGACAACCTGGTCTCGGAGCCCTCAGTTTTTTAAGCAACCACAATGTAGAAGCACAAAATATAGCAATGTTTAGTAGGATTGCTTTTTCCTACTGATCTGGCCAACATGTACGCCTGTATTGTGTTACAAGACCAGAGAACGGGTTGTGATCAGTAGCTGAATAGCGAAAACCCTGAGAGATCACTCTTTCAGGCGGTACGTACATCCACTAGTTGCACCCTAAAATGTGAACAAGCACCTTGAATAGAGGAAGTCAGTAGATTCTAGGCAACCAGAATCAAACAAGAAAATTAAACTTTCAGGTGTCGACCCTTGATGTTTAAACACCGAAAAGTGCTATCAGTGTAAGTTGCTCTACTAAAGAAGGACATACTGATGACCTCAGAATAGCGCGACCTATAAAAAAATTTCACACCCGCGCGCCTGGGGCAGGCGTATATAAGCCCGTAGACTTTACTTCGACAACACACATATATATGTCTTGGTATCTCCAATCATTGGGGAGAACGAAAGGGATATATATGCCTGGTGTCTTTTACACCAATCCCTTTCACACCCAGGTAAACGTTGTACAGATTTTTACACCCTTTTTTTAGCTTTACTTTGTCGTCATCCACCACGTAAACTAATCAATGCGACACCCCTTTGTAGATCAAAAACTGTATCACAAATAGCTTCATACCCGCAATACACAGATCCAAGGGTCAACCCTTGAAAGATACGATCATACTAGTCTAGATTGATTCAAGGCCCTGTGAAAGCCGACTGTAGAGAGCCACAAGACGCGGTTATAACACTGCCACTGTAGCACTCAATAGCAATTGTGACTGTTCAAGCTAGTCAGACCTCCGATTACTGAGATCCTGGTACACACTATCTTGTTCCTAACGTTACTGACACTCAAGGGCCGGGTTGCTGACCAATTGTGTTTGAAATTTCCCCGGTACTGAGGTTTTAGGACTACTCTACAAGTCGATTCGTAATTCCACTATACAAGGGCACTGGGATCTACCCAGTAGTGTGACGATCCCCATACCATACTGGCGGCTTAGGACATGAGCCATATGATTTAGGTCCGGAGATCGGGACTAGTACCTAGCTACCAATGTGCATACCGAGACTTTTAGCAATAACGCTCTCAATTTAAGTTAACTTTTCCTGAAGTATGAAGAATGCAATGTCTCACATGCATAAATGCACATACAGTACACCGCGAAGCTGGGCCTACAAATTTATGCCTACAACACGACACTTGATCAAAACTTCATGCATATGTGGTAGAGCCACAGCGTCTGGCCCCTATACCGAAGAGTACCTGAAAAAAAAAAGTGTGAAATGTGGACGTTGTAGGGCTTTTTTCCCTCGTCTGGTGCCCTAATTGATATATAACCTTTCGACTTCCCACCCTTGAAAAGTTTTCTCCCTCTTTTATTCGGATCCATCATCAACTTTTTTTTATATCAAGTATATATATTCATCCCTCACTATCAATTGATACGTGTGTTCACCATCCATTGAGTGTTGTGTTCGTTGGGTCTCTTGTTGCACTTCTACACCACCCTTTTTGTTCTCTTTTCAACTACATTCTCTTTCATTACCAACCAGCTTGTATAGGCACAACAACATTCACACACTTATACTATAAGCACTGGAGAGGTTTGGGTATTTTCCGTTTAGAATCTCAAATTGTCGTATTCTAGTCCCATTCCCTTTATCTTTCTTTAGAGTCCTGATATTCACTTATTAGGTCTCATACACTCATTGTGATCTTTGAAAATATACAAAATTACCACACACACATACAAACCACAGTCATCGGAAGCATCCATTCTGCTGCAGAGTCTCTCTTTCAACCCATTACATTCACATCTACATTTGCTTTCCTTACTCATTACCATAATCAACATCAATGGCTTCAAGAACCCCATTTGCTCAGCACAGAAGAGCACTGGCCTACTACAAGGCACAAAATCCTCATGTCATTGCCATGGAGAAAAGGGCCCACACCCAAGCCATCGAGGATTACTTTATGGATGTGTTCCAGAACTTGAATGCTTTGGAGCCAGCAACTCAATTGCAACCGGACTTGATTGCTACGCAACCAGAGATCACCGTCGCAATGAGACCAATCTTGTTTGATTTTTTGCTTGATGTTCACTCGAGATTGAGACTTAGCGAGTCATCCTTCTACTTGACTATCAGCATTATTGATCGTTACTGCTCCTTGCGCATTGTTAGAAAGGATCACTTCCAGCTGCTCGGATTAACTGCCCTGTGGGTGGCATCTAAGTTCATTGACCCAAAGCACAAGGTGCCATCATTGGCATTCCTCAGAGCTACATGCTGTAACTGTTACAAGCAATCTCTATTCTTGGAAATGGAGTGTCATATCCTGAAATCTCTGGACTGGGAAGTTGATGCACCAACTCACGATTCATTTATTGACCTTATCATTTTGGAGAAGTTACAGTCCAACCAGATTTCTGAAGACTCTGTTGAGGCCTTGAGCCACTTGGCAAGCTACATCTGCCATTTCTTGCAATTCCATCACAAGATCACCTTTAAATATACAATCTCGCAGGTTGCATTGGCATCGATTATCGCATCCACTCGTGCCATTACGTTCCACAACGAGTTGATGTGTCAAGACATTTCACAAGGATCAACCATGGACTTCCTTGTCGATGAGGTTCTCAACACATTGCGCGACTGTCAAGTTCCCTCAGCAGTTAAGAACAAGTTCCAACAGAGCCAGTCGGAGTACCTGGTGTACATGCAGATGTTGAACGACTACGCTTCGGATGATTCTCGTCGTCAACCACTGTGTGCACCAAGAACTCCTTACTACAGCTACCAGACGTCCCCAGTCTCTCGCCAGGGCTCCCACTCTGATTCTGACTCTGTCTTCAGCTCACGTGGCTCATCAAGCACTTTTGCGACACCGGCTTCGAGCTGCTCAGCCAGTCCTATGGAGCAGATGAAGAACCCTATATTCCAAAAACAGCAACAGCATGCACCAGCAGCAGCACAACCTCAATACACTTATAGTGTGGCGTCTTCTCAAGCACCACAGTTTGGAGGCTCTCTCTCTCGTAAGAGATCAAGATCGTCCAACTGATTTACGAATAACTCATGTGCAGTCGCTTTATGTCCTCCTGACCTAAACAACTTTTGGGGAATAGCAGCTGGATCTGTTATACAAATCCTCAGAAGTCTTCTCTTTTTTAGATATATACGGTATTCGGTGAACACAATGTGCGTGTTCTTCTTTTCGCCCAATACAATTACAATGGTTTTCTTCGTTTTAGCGTGTAGTGTGATGATGGTGTGATTATGGTGATGGAAAATCGGAAAAGAGAGCTCATCACGGGCAAATTTTTTTTTTTTCAATTTACTATGGTATAAACGTACAATTGGAGACAGACCATGCCAATGAAGAAGTCCAAAGTGAACAGGAATGAGTATAAAGGGTTTCACCCTTCTGGTGGTGAAGTTCCACGCATCAATTTGGACTCGTACACCAGTGACAAGTTTTACGATGATTTTGTAAAGGCTCGGAAACCCGTTGTGATTGATGGCGTGATACCTGAGATTGACCTATCAAAATTCCAACCAGATTCGATCCTGGATCTCCTAGGGGGCGATGAATTGCTTCTCGTGGAGAAGAAGGACAAAGGTGGATACGGCAGTGGCACTGAGAGATTGAAAATGACGTTTCAGACGTTCATTGATACTCTGAAGAGTGGTGGTGATGACTACTATCTGACGACTCAGTACGCGGAGGATGATCCAGAAGAAGTACACCGTGCGTTACAGCACAAGCTGGAGTTGGAGGAGAGTGAAGAAGAGGAAGAGGATGAGCAGGAGGATGGCGAAGTAGATACGGACTTGTCGAAAGATGCATTCTCGGATGCTGGATCCTTCGACCTTAACGATTTGCACGACGATTTTGAAGACGACGGCCTTGCCGAGGAATTCGACGAAGACGATGGGGAAGATGCAGGCTCCCTGGTGACTGATAAGCTCCCTGGCGAACCCCTTTACTCAACGGAAGCGGAGTGCCGTATCCAGGAGTGTCTGCAGAAGCCACTGACGAAGCTCGCTAACAAGATCCCCTTACAGCCTTCAATTATGGACCGGCTTGTGCCACAGCAGATCAACTTGTGGGTTGGAAAGTACTCAGCCACCAGTGATGAATATACTCCAGACCCGACCTCAAAGGACTATGGTCTGGGAAGGCGTATATTCGGAGGAGGAGTATCATCAGGCCTACACCACGACCACGCCGATAACATCTACATCCCTGCCTGCGGCCATAAAAGGTTCACAATCTTTTCACCATTGGACGCGGACAAGATGTACACTGTGGGCAACATCCAGACCGTTTACCCGTCAGGTGTTATTGATTACAAGAATGACGAGAATGCGCCTGGATGGAGGACTCTGAGAAGCGACAGTGCCATAGAAACAGCAGTTGCACAGTGGAAGCTGGACCAAGGGTTAGAAAGCGACAAGCATCCACTGTTTTTACAGTCAATTGAGCAAGAGGAGAACGCATTGAAGGACTTTGAGACCAAAGCCATTGACTCACAAGGTGTCAAGAAGGATCCACCTTCATTCTCAAGAATTCCTGCGGCTTTGGTGCATTTGGACAAAGTTGAACCAAAGGAGCTACAGAGACAATTGACCAAATTCCTAGAAGATACATGGCCAGAATTCTCAAAGGCTCCAAGGTTGACAATTGACTTGAAGCCGGGACAGATGCTGTATTTGCCAGCTGGCTGGTTCCACGAGGTTACGTCTTTCGGCACACCGGAGAGTAAGGACTTCCACATTGCATTGAACTACTGGTTCTCTCCTCCTAATGACGACGACAACGTATACACCGATGAGTACTGGGCCCAGGACTTCCAGAGAACGCGTGCCTCATTCGAGCATCTGCTCAAGAAGAATCACATGTAAAGTACGACAGAACAGAAAGGCACATGGACGTGGACGAGTTTACAGTGTGGCATAGGAGGACTACATCCTATAGATATGGGACTAGCGTGAAAGTGTTGAATGCCAATACGCCATCTATTACGAACGAACAACGTCACATTGTAACACTTCAATTGACTAAGCGGTGGACGCTTGTTCCCACGCTACAAAACACTCACAGGGGGGCTTGTAATACCCGCAAACTCGAGCCAATGTACATCTTCAAGCACATACATTGCACTGTATACATAGTAGGGTCTGTCACAAGGTGTGGCATTGAGTCTGTTGGCGTTGGTGTTCAGGTGTTTGGTTGACGACACACACAATGTGTAAATATGAGCACGCTGTGCGTAACTTTCAGCACTTTGCGTTATCAGTGGAGAGGTGAATGACACATTTTTCAAGATAACGCACTTACTGCATTTGGTTAATTGGCGAAAAAAAAGCCCAAAGTGGTTTAGGGTTTCTGGAAGCGTAGGGCAGACGGTCAGTTCACCTTGGATTGGTCATTTGCCATTCCTTCAACTGCCCTTTGTCCACCTTTTTGACGTATCGAGACTCAGCCTGGATATATATGGTGCCATTTTACCGTTAGCAAGGTCCATTTTGAGGTCCCTGACTGGATCAGCTTTTTGTTGCGAACCACGCGTCGAGTGTGGACAGTTCGTAAAATGTCTTCAGGCTCAAGTACAGCCAAGGAGCCAAAAATCAATTGGAAAACCCCATCATCTCACACACACAATCACATGTAAAGTAACACACACGATTGCACCCTTTCCAACCATTCAAGAACCCGATCCTTAATAACAAAAGAATACCACTAAAAATTTTGACAGTCCTGTTTATGTGTCACGAACCGATCTCCTAAACCGAAAACGACAAAATTGCGCACTTTTGCGCACGCAAAAAAAAAAATTTCACTATTTCTGAGTGACGCACACCCCATGCGAAAAACATCAAAAGTTTTCACTTTTTACCTTTGCAGGATCAAATTGTAGTTGTAGATATTGCTATCAAAGTTACAAATCTCTTTGGGATTTACCAAACAAGAAGAATAAACAGAGGAAATAGAACTGATTAAGATGTAAGTGTTATATTCTCGGTTTTTTATTTTTGTTTGCGTGTGTGAAAGTGCTTTAATGTTTAGAAGCACGTTTTCTACATGCAGCATGTTACTATGAACAGGAAGCCTGAAAATGACGATTTATCTCTTTAAAGAAGATCAAACGTACTAACTTGCATTCGAAATCCAGAGAATATAGAAAGAGTCAACACCCTTTTCTGTTCTGTTCGTTCTCTTCTTCTTTTTTTTCTCCTTTAGTTTTTTCTATTGACATCTACTGAGCTGTGTGCGATCCAAGGCTACTGGGGTGAATCCATATATACACATATACCCATCCTGGCTTAAACAACAAAGGAATACCAAGAGTTCATTTATTTGCATTGCCTTCGTTGAGACTTTGACTAATTTCATCGAAAGCCGTATTTTGAACCAACTCTAGTTTTTTCTTTGCCATACGACCACACAACCAAGCGTCAGTCTTTGTTATACTGCTACTTGAAGAAGACTGTTAAAGATTTTAACTAATCCTTTAACTGTTGTTCTCTCTCGTCCACTGTCCTTATTTGCTCCCGGTTTTTTATTTTATCCCCGTCTGATTATTACATTCTTACAAGATGGCTTTGGCAAACAGAAGACCTGTTGCTTTCCCTGTTAGTGAAGCAACTTCTACGTCATCTCCATCCTTTAAACCAAGCCGTTTGAGCTTGGATTCTGGTTACTCCGTATCGAAGGCAGCCTCAAAGAAGATTGCTGCTGCATCCATAAAGGAATCAACACCAGAAGAGTCATTGAGTGGGTCAAGCTCCGAGGATGTTGAAGCTTCTCCTACAAGCTCCGTTGCAACTACTGTCTCCACAGGCTCTACAAAGCACAAGGAGAAGAAGGAAAAGAAGGAGAAGGTGAAAGGCTCTTCAAGACAACCAATCGCTACTGGTATCTCTACAACTATCCCTGTGACTGGTGAAAGACCACGTCCTCAAGAACACAAGTCATTGGACGATAACGTTCTCTTTGCAATCTTTGAAATCTTGTATGAGAAGGATCCTGAAGGGAAAGGTATGACAGTTAAACAAATTTGTGATATCCTTGTTGAGAGACATCCAGAAATGGCTAACTTGTCCTCAAAGACATCCAACCTCGTCTCTGCAAAGTTGAATGCCTACGTCAAGAGAATTGAAAAAGGTGAGAAATCCTTGATCTATGCTCTCTCTAGAGAATGGGCAGACGCTTCTCCAAAGAGAATGGTGTACGTATACCGTGGAATGCTTGCTCCAGACTTCTTTGTCCATGCACTGGCTGCGATTGAAACGCAAAAGGCTGCTGAAAACACCTCTAGTGCTCAAGACCGCAAGTCGTTGGACAAAGCACTGAAGGAGGACACACCTACCCGTGAGGGAGAGATGAAGAGACGTGCCACTGCCTTTGATTTGGGTATCAACAGAAATTCATTTGCAGATTTGCAATTGGATCTGACGTTACCGAACATTGCTATACCGTACTCTTCTGCCCCTGTCACCGCTTCTCTAGGAATTGGTGCTACCCTTGATACTGAAGGTGCATCCAAGAAGGCTCTTGCGTTTAAGAAGGATACCAACACTGCTGTTTCTGACGATGACTTTGACGCATTTGACCAATTTGACGATTCGTTTGACACTGATGACATTCGTCCTTCTTTCAGAGCAAACAAGCGTTCCAAATCCATGTCGTACCTGCAATCCAAGAAGATGCGTACTTTGACTGTTGCCGCTGCTGCTCCACGTTTATCAAAGGCCAAATCTACAAGTTCACCTTCCGCTGCTGCTGCTGCTGCTGCGCTTCATGCCGCAGCATTGGAGGGCCTTTCACCAGCTAGTGTTTCATCGCCGGAGTATTCCAGCAACGAAACTCCGGTTGCTGCTAAATGGTTACAAGCTGTTAGAAACGGGTTTTTAACACAGGACATTGAAACACCAGAGAGCACGTCACTTGCTGAACTGGATTCGATGTTTGCTTAAGAAACTCATTTATACATTGTTCCATGTGGCTACACACATAGCCAAACCATCATCTCCTTTTCATTTCCACCGACATTTAGATCCTACAGTTTTGTTTCTCCAATTTCATTGTGTTTTCCCATTTGATTGCTTTTACATCACTATTTTTTTTTTGACTGTCCTGAACACCTTTTTCTATTATTATTCATCGTGGACTATCATATACTCTTGATTGGTCAAACCAGACACTTGACGAACAACACCCTCCATCTCATCATCCTGTGAGTTTGCTCTGATTCTTTTACTCTATCATATGTCACAATCTCACCGCCTCCGACATAAACACTTTGCTGTTCAATCTTCATGATTCTTAAACGACCAATTATCTTATATATACACCTCTATGTATACAAACATACGCTCACACCAGCCACCGTGCCGTCCTGTTGTTTGCTTTATCCTATAAGTACCTGTTTCTAATGACCTCATGATATATGATTTCCTCGTTCTCTCACACCAAACTGTACAAAGCGTTGACATTATGACCCTGACGCACGCGTAATGCACAATAGGCGAGACGTGGCGCGCGTGTGCTTACATAAGCAAAAATGACTTCAGGCTCCCAAAATGAAAAAAAATTGCACACTCCGGAAGTATGCATCCGAAAGTATGATCACGCTGGATTGGAAGATCAAGCACTTTTCCAGGGGGAAGCAGCGTAGACTAAGCAGACGGTAGTGGTGGCAGTAGGCACCCATGCTCAGTAGTTGATTTTCAGCGATTTATACCAGTTTTTTCCGCTGCCTAATATCTCGTAAAACAGGTGAGTAATCGCCAATTTGCGCTATCCCATTGGCCGGTACAGGGTGGCTTTCTGCCTGCATGGGCCCGAGCGGAAAATTAGAGGGAAGAGTCAGCGATGAGACGAAGGCAGAAGTGGATAAATAAGCTGTGACTTTTCCACATTTGGAGGGAAGAAAGAACGTTTGCTTGCTTTCCCACCGGTAGTTGAGACCTACGTTTGTTAGTGATGTCGCTAAGAAGGGCCATTGGACAAGAACTGAGACTGTGTTCGAGATTTCGGCTGAGCTCGTCGGCTCTTGGTGTCTCGATGAGATACAATCTGAGCACACTACGTTCAGCCAACACGAGATGCTTTTCCACGTCTAGGCTCAATCTGAAGTCGACAGAGGTTAGATTTGACGAGATGGATAGTGAAGTCCAGGAGATGTTGAATGAAGAAAGAGCTGTTGATAAAGTGGACGTGTGTATCGTCGGTGGTGGTCCTGCTGGTTTGGCTGCTGCTATTAAGCTGAAGCAATTGCAGCTGGAGAACGAGGACGGTAGGGACATCAGAGTTGTGTTGTTGGAAAAAGCACCGGATATGGGGTCCCATATCGTTAGTGGTGCTGTTATAGAACCAAGAGCATTCAAAGAGCTCTTCCCAGATAGTGAATATGTGGATGAAAAGGGAGAAGGAATCCCACTTCCACCGGAGCTTGTCACCGTGGTTGAGGAGGAGTCCTTGAGATTTCTGTATGGCGACCTGGCCATCCCACTACCGGAGCCTCCACAGATGCTTAACAAAGGTGTCAATTATATCGTATCTCTCAGTGAAGTGGTGAAGCACCTAGCAGAGACTGCAGAGGAACTCGGTGTAGAGGTGTATCCTAGTACTTCTGTTGCTGAGGTGCTCTACAACTCTGAAGGTGCTGTCAAAGGTGTTGCTACAAAGGACATGGGCATAGGCAGAGATGGTGTGCCAAAGGATACATTTGAAAGAGGTATGGAGTTCCACGCTAGAGTCACAGTCTTTGCCGAAGGCTGTCACGGCTCCTTGTCCAAGGAAGTAATAAACAGGTTCAAATTAAGAGAAGGAAGACAGGCCCAGACTTATGGCTTGGGAATCAAGGAGGTTTGGGAGGTGGAGCCATCCAAGTTCAAGAAGGGGTACATCTCACACTCTCTTGGATACCCACTGGATTATGAGACCTATGGTGGTGGTTTCATGTACCACTTTGGAGACGGCCTTGTCTCTGTTGGTCTCGTGGTTGGGCTTGATTACAAGAACCCATGGATCTCACCTTACCAGGAGTTCCAGAGAATGAAGCAACACCCCTTCTATAGAAAAACCCTAGAAGGCGGTAAGTGCATATCATATGGTGCTAGAGCATTGAACGAAGGTGGCTGGCAGTCAGTTCCAAAACTCCATTTCCCAGGTGGTGTTCTCGTTGGTGCTTCTGCCGGCTTCATGAACGTTCCAAAGGTTAAGGGAACCCATAATGCCGTTAAGACTGGTATGCTTGCGGCAGAGTCCATTTTTAACAGAATATCGCCTATGGAGAAGATTATGACAGAGGAAGATGAAGAGTACGATCCTGAAATCCACGATGTCGAAGAGCCTTCTATTGATCTTCCGGAATATGAAAAGGCTTACAAGAATTCGTGGGTTTATGACGAACTGTACGAAGTTCGTAATCTGAGACCATCATTCGGATCAGGACTCGGCTTAATTGGTGGTATTGCATACTCTGGCTTGGACTCGCTTCTCCTCAAGGGACAAGTTGCCTGGACATTTGATCATCACAAGTCGGATGCTGAATTGACGAAACCAGCTGATCAATATGAAAAGATTGACTATCCAAAACCTGATGGTAAGGTCACATTCGACATTCTCACATCAGTCTCGAGAACTGGTACACACCATGACGAAGATGAGAGAAACCACCTACGTATCCCAGACCAGGATCCAGAAGAACACACCGAAAAGGCATGGCCAAAGTTCAAAGGAGTTGAAAACAGGTTTTGTCCAGCTGGAGTCTACGAATATGTTGAAGACGAAACGAGCAAACATGGAGTCAAGTTTCAAATCAACTCACAGAATTGTATCCACTGCAAAACTTGTGATATCAAAGTTCCAACCCAAGATATCAACTGGACAGTTCCAGAAGGTGGTGATGGTCCAAAGTACGTCATGACCTGATCCATATATTTATCAATAGTCATTAATTTCATATGGCCCTGTAATAATATCTCATAAGAATACAGTTATATTAGACATGTGCTATGGTGCAAAGCGATATATATATTATATGTCATGATCATTGAGTAACCAAAAGAAAGCAAGGCAAAAATGTCCAAAAAGCATTTTAGTTAAAGGGTCTCAGCATAAACTCATTAAGCGACACTGACGGTCAAAACTTTATCACCTCCTTCTCTAATCATCTCCTTCACCATCAACCAATCATCTTCGCTGGCGATAACAATGAAATCACCGTCCTCGTCTTGGTATTTGACTTTACCTGTCATTGCACCACCACATTGTTTGATCTTCTTCTCAATCTTGTTCATAAACTCAGTAACAGGAACATCCAAAGGAATCATCATTGTGAATATGTCTTTATCATACAGTAACTTCACAATTACATTATTACTTGGAAGAGAACCCTTATAGGGGTCTGAGATTGATCTTTTGCTCTGCAATGAATCAATGGTTCCACGCCTCGACGTTTGTACTTCGGACTTTTGCCTGGTGTGTGAAAATGGAGAGTTCGTCTGACCAATGTCAGAGTTTGTTCTGGTCAAATACGAAGATCTGGCAGAACTGTACAAGGATACGCCATTGCTTCGTCTATCGCCAACAGTCATCTGGCTGAAATTGGATGTAGTTTGGTACTCATCTTGAATATTCACAACCAGTTTCCTGATACAATTTTCCCAATTGGTTCTTGTCTCTTCGTTCTTGAACTTCATCAAGAAGGAGCCTGTGTCTTTAACACCTGACCAAGAGATGTTCAATTGACGCGGACTCACACTATTGATGTTGTAAATGTTTGCAATTGATATTCTTCCCTTCAGCTCTAATCCCAACAGCTCCTGAGCGTTCACCGTTAAGTTTGACGACGATTTCTTCATCAAATTCAACGTTGGTTTCTTCTGCTGTGCATATATCTCTTTGAAAAAGATTATGATGTTTTCAAAGAGGTAAACTTGGAACGTTCTTTCATCTGAGGCTCGCGAGTTATCATTGACAGTGACCTTATCAAAGAACAACAATTCACCGAAGCTGTGAACATTGTAGCCTTTCCAATCAACAACCATATCGTATAGTTTTTTCAAAACCTCAACATTTTCTATACGTCTTTGGTTTTCGTTGAGATCATTGGCAATCTTTTTGGATATTTCCAATGCTGTAACCAACTCGTTGTAATTAGCAGCAGAAGGTTCTGTAACCTTCACAAGCTGCTTCAAAAGCAGTGGATATTTACACAGCCTCTGAACCGGCTTCAAAATGAAACTTTGTAGTTCAAAATCATTTGCGATAATTAAGTCAGGGTTACTTCCCATCAAGGGGCTTGCGTTCATAAAGTCAATTGCAGCCTTTTGACCAATTGACCAAGGTTCATAAAGTTTGAAGTATGACTGTGCATGGATGAATATCGACCCAACTCGTTGATACTTTTGATCGACAATACCATTTATCTCCAGAGATATTAACACACGTCTTTGGTAATCCAAAATGTTATCCAAGTTCGGGAACAACATGTACAAATCATCCGATGGGATGATATTATACTCCAGAAGCTGGGCCTTGTACTTCACTAAGGTTTGTAAATCATCAATGTACTTTCTCTCTGTTTCAATCAGCTCCTTCAATATCCTTGGAACCGATTCAAGCTTCTGTATTTCATCCTCCAGCTCTAAAGGTGGGAAGATTGAAGGGCATGAATCTATAACCTTGTTTATAACTGATATGATCTTTATCAAGTCATTGGTCTCTGTGGAGAACACATCAGAGATGGTGAACAGCTCCAACTGTCCAAAGTCCAAATGTGTCTTACAAGCCAATATGAAGTCGTAAATCGACTTCTTGCAGGTCTTCAAGTCGTCTGAAGATATCACTGGCAACGAATTTTCAGGCTTCACCAAGTTGAATATAACACACAGTGGTGAACCCTGCTGGAACAGAGCCCAAAGCTGAGTCGCTGGATCACAACTCACAGTAGCTGGTAGCACACCGGCATGGAAGGTCAGCAGTGCAGCAGGTGCAGGTGTTGTCGGAGCAGTTGTGGAATCATCACTTAGCGTACTGAATGTTGAAAAGCTACTCACTCGTACGTTACTCTGTGAGCTGTAGCTGTTATGCGCGCTTGTAATACCACTCGAGCTCGAGCTTCTGTGCTTTTGCGATAGCCCAAGGGCCTGGTTCTCAGATATAACCTCAGCACTTGAGTAGGCCAAGTTCAGGTATGGTTTCAGCTGCGGTACAACTTCCAGTCTCTTCTTCAGCGTGAGACATATGTAGTATAGCGAATCACTAGCATTGACATGTTTGTTCAAGAGCTTCAGCGTCGTGTTGTTCTGAGCCGCCAGGTTCACATGCGAGTTGTTGCTCGACGTTACACGAGACCCCGGAATGGAGTGAGAGACGCTCGACTGGGAATTGGTCCTATTTGCTAGGAACCCATTGGAGCTCATAGTGTTGATCACCTTATAGGCAGAGAGAGATAGGTATATATACGATTACAGCACGATAATACACAATGGCAATATCTCACTTCTGTTTGCAATGTGCTGTTCTTCTGTGGGGCCACTAGAGTTGTCCTTTTAAATGCGTGCTTCCTCTCCCGGCGCTGTTCTCCTTCTTCTCTCTCGCAATGGGATGTGGTGTTTTGTGCCTGAAGTTGTTGTTGTTGATGTTTTGTGGGTTTTTTCCCTTAAAATTTCGCACAGTTTCGCACAGTTTCGGTGTGTCTGGGTGTTCTTGAAAGGAAGGGGGGAAGGAGGAATCGGGGGAAGGAGCCCTATAAGTTTGAGATGAAAATTGGCAGATTTCAGCTAAGAATGTAATATCCATGCAGAATTGGCCCTAATAAATCGATACCCCCGAGGATTTGCAACCAGTGTGTACAATGCGGTTGTTTGGTGCTGTTGCCATGGATTAATTGTGTGCACCGAAACCGTTGAACCGGCCCCCCATTCTTCAATGCAACACGCATCCAAAGCAAAAAAATCAACCAGTTTTAGTGCGAAAAAGTTGCGAAACCGTACTGGTTTGGAGGGGTTTCGCCAGGCACACCGTCAGCCGCCTAATCGGGTAATTGCGTAATGTGCTGACCAAATCCGGTAATGGTGTTCGAAATCACGCTGTTTGGTTTTCAAAGACAGGGTAACAGTCATCTGGCGTGGATGTGATTTTGTTTCTGTTCCTTGGTTTCTCTGTTACGGCTCCTTCCCTCTAAACTATACAGACACCGCCATTTCGTAGGGATATGGTTGAAGTGCCCATCGGATCCCGTGAAAGTATTGATACGAACAACTTGAGGATGCTTCGATTGCGGAAATTGGAATTCAAGCAGCATCTGATTGGTATCTTTGAGACCCTGGGCTATGTGTTCATCACTGTCTTGTACCTGAAGAACATGTCATTTGTGCGTTTCTTTATAAGGCTATGCCTCCACGTCGTGCTGTCGAATCCATTCCCTTCAAGCTTGCCCAGAAGCGTACCCAGAGAGTCCAAGAGAAACCTGACAAAGTCGTTTTTGGTGACTTTGAACGTTGTGAACGCTTTGTTCTTCGCATTGGATATGATAACAGGTGTTCCCGAGACGTCGAATGGATCCGGGTTGTTCCACGGGAGCTTGACGTTACAGATAATTGGCGAGACTCCACCATCATCGAGATGGACATATGTCTATTATAACGGGCTGATTGCGTCAGTACAGTTTGTTACGCTGTACCTGTCTTGTATCCTGAACACCGATGACGATATAGATGAACAGTCAACGGTGTTACCTGGATCGAGCTATTCCTTGACCCAGGTTGAAGGTGATGGCTATACGGGGAACTGCCTAGTTGGCACTCTGCACCCTTCACTGGTTTATTGGAAGATTATGAACTTCTCCAACGACAACCAACAGCCCACAGACGGAGACACAACGACATATAACGACTACATGGGTCATAGATTCGACATTAGCCAAATGATATAGCTATTTCCTTGACACGCTTCATACATCTCTTACACATGCAGAATGACAATCAGTCATCCAAGTGTTTATTGTCTTCTCTTTCTTTATAGATATAAAAATTAATGACACCCACTTTCATGCTTGGCCAATAGGACAGTTACGAAGGTATTCACACTTGTTTCTGAGGATTCTGACGCTCTTGAAGAAGATCTCCTCTGGTGACATTGCACCTGTAGATTCAACGTTGAAGATGAAGTGATCTCTCTTTCTTCCCAGCTTCACTTTTCCTTTGAACTCATCATGGCGTAAGACTTCTCTTGAAACTGTATCTCTTCTTGCATCCTTCACGTATGCTTCACCTTTCTCATCTATACCAATAACACCCGTGGAGAAGCATTTTTGGAATTTCTTTGCATCTTCACCAGAAATAGGTTGTGTGATGTCAATTGTTGGAAGTAATCTATAGGAAGCTGTGGCAACAGGAGAGAATTTGGCATGGTCAGCACCGATACCCAAGACGCAGTGGATCTTTAAAGAGATCTCTTGACCAGGTCTAAGCTTTGCAAGGAGGATGTCTGGATCCGCAGGCACCACTGGTGATTTGAAAGTCTCCAATTGTGAACCTTGAGGTTCAAATTTCAAATCACGGGCATAGACGTTGGAGTTTCTGTAGAGTTCCTTTGGGTCGGTGGTGTTTTTTGGAGCATGTGGGTTTCTTGTACATGAAATGTCAAGAGACATGACAACGGTGTTTGTATCAGTGAATCTGTTCTCCTCATCGACAGTTTGATCAACCCAGTTAAGGTTATCCGGATCAACTTTCAATGGGATTAAACCTATTCTGTGTGCCAATACCTCATCTTGGATAACAGATGTGTTATTGAAGATGTAAACCTGTTCAGCAGCAACAGAAGGAACTTCGGAGATCATGATACGACGGAACGCATTTGCTATAGAGGTGTCGATATGGATCAAATCAAAGTTTGCAGCCCTCTCAGTGACATAGGAGATCTTGATGTCAAAGCTATTTTTGAACTTCTCGAGATTCCACGAGAAGTCTTCATCAGAGTTGTGGTAACCAGGGTAATCAGTTGACACGGTGTTGGTAACACGATCGTGCTCAATGTGGACAATGTTGTCAACCATCGTTTCTAACGGGATATGATATTAATGAGATAGTAGGATTGATACGCTGTGAGCAATCCTTTGAAATGAGAGATGAGCTGAATATGAAGATGAGAAGAAGCAGGCTGAAAAAAAAAGTTTATAAAAATTTCACTCCGAGGAAATGTCACATGACACGGCACGTGTGTCCCGGAAATCGCACAAATCTATCCACACGGGCCTTATTATAGTGCATAGTTGCAATAGGATGAAGGGTTTGATGATTAGCTTCATCGTACTCAGATGTTTACAATCGTGCTATCCATATCAGATCGATCCTCTGCTTCCAAAGGTATATATACATTGCAGCTAACCGAATACCACGGGGATCAAAACCACATTCTGTATATAACCAAAGGTGAGAGCCACATAGTGTACATAGATAGTACATCAGGCTAATCGATATGATCTCACAAGCACCCTCAGGTGGCACAATTGGTGTCCTCCATCATAGAAAAGTCGGTACAGTCGAATCATCAAGGCACACAGGAGGAAAGCTTTCAACATAAAAGATGCGTACAAGACAGTGGCTGAGATAAGATCATTGGGTATTCAAACTGTTCATGAAGATGTGCCATTTGTACCTCTTTGAAAGTCCTGGAGACAGCAAAAAGGTAGTCATTTCTTTGGAAGAGCATGAACGGATTACTTGTATGTGTCTATTGAGATGCGACAAAACACTTGATGATGTGATCTTCGAGGTTCAACTTAATGTTTCCAGTTATATTGATGTCACAATATATCTTCCACTAACAGTAGGGTGTATAGTGTTCCATTCGCACGTTGTGGTTAGTAGAATAGTTGATATGATAATGACAAT